AGTGCAATAAGACAGGCACTCCTTCTTCATCCCAGTGAGACAGGATATATACCAACACACTTCCGGGAAAGGAGATTGGTACTAATTATTAATAGATTTACAAGTATTTAAACAAAAAAATTACCCTTTTGAGAGTCTATTCTAAGACAATTAACAGCCTAACAGACAATGATTTATGTAAAAGACTTTTAAGCAACAATAATATGTATTGTAGTAAGAATAAAGAATTGCCAACAGTAGCAGAATGGCTAAATACTTTGTGGACTCTACAAATTTTGAGATATAATATAGCCACAAAAACACATTTCAAAGAATATTTTGACATGGAAACATTCTTAGGTTATATAAATCAAAAAGACAGGCGTGAGGAAACATATCAGTATAAGCCCAATTTAGGAAAAATAAAAGAAACGTACATTTCAAAAGGAGAAACATTAAAATGTTAACAGTCTTTATCTGTGAAGAATGTAATAGTGAATGACAGTCATTTTTGTCTTTTAATGGTTTTCTTTATTTTCTAAATAGTGGGAGAAATATCATGTTCTAAATCCCCAATAATTAAAGTAAAACAGCAAAGTATGCATTGTTAATGAAAAAAATCATTCAAATGCTTGTCAAAACAGTTAAGGCCAACTTTATTCAGGGAGACTGTGGTTTAAGTATAAGGACCAATGCAATGCTTTTTTGCAGTAAAGGAGAGACACTGGTCTCCTATGTGAATACAAAAGGAAAAGCGAGAGTTTATAACCAAGCAGCGGAATGTGTGGGACAGGCTGGGAATAGGTGGAAAATTACTAAGACATCAGGGGTAAGAGGGATTCTAGCTAAACTGACCTAATAGGATTCCTGAAGTTTGCTGGCAGGTGATCAGATATTACCTGAGAGACGATGGAAGATAAGGAAGCTAATCAGATATTGAGGTTGCTCAGATATCAAGGGTGGGAGATTCTGGCTAAACTAACTTAGCATGAGGACTCTTGTGAAAGTGAGGCAACACAAAGACAAACATGGAAGTATAAAGGTAAAGCTTAGTTGGAAAAGGACTCAGCAGAGTCTGACAAATTTCAATAAAAAAGAGACACTGGTATATGCAGCCTTAAGGAAATGTGGAGACTTGCTTGTCACTTACAAATAAATCAACATTCCAGGTATTTGTTAGTCTGCCCATGTGGACCTGAGCTTATTTATCTGCCAATCTCCTAGCTACGGAAAAACTAAAATAAAATAACTTCAAATTTAAAACTCAATCACTGGCTATTTAAGTCCTGTTATTGACAAGTTCTTTCCAGCTGCTCACAAAATCCTTTGATAAGATGGCACAGTATGATACGGCATGGTCTAGGATGTCTGCCGTGGTTTGGAATGGCCTGTATTCCATGGAGAAACCCATGAGCAAAGCGGGAGATTGTGAAAACAATGTAGTATTATTATAAAGTGTTGGAAATTAGGAAAAAAAGTTATTACCTCTGATATCATCACAATAGAATTACTGGTGCCATCTTTAACAATGTTCGTCAATGCTTTATTGTATGTAGAGCGTTGATAGTGCTAAAATGTTACTGTATATGAAATTTTGTATCCTCCTTTTGTACTCGTCATTATGCAAGGGGCACTTTTATGTGCCCACAGGGTCTTTTTAGTCATTGCTATTATTTCAATGACTACCTAATATTTATTAAGTAAGTATTTTATATTGTAAATTCCTTTTTGTTTGGGCAATCAAGCTGTTTATTTTCAAGTTTTCAGTTAAAATATATTCTAGCCAGTCACTCAGTAAATGGAAAGAATTTGAATGAAAAACCCAATGTTTTCTTACCTATAGATTCATATACTCACCACAACAGGTTTCTTGATGTTTATATGACCAGCATTTGCTCAAATAGAATAACTTGTAAAAAGAATAATACAAAAGAAACTAAAAGTTTGCATTTGGCTTTAGCCAAAAGGCTATGAATTGATTTAAAAAACTTTAGAATTTATAGTTTTTCTTGAAGTTTTTACAGTGAGAGACCAAAGGGCTATAGTATGTATAGTTCATAGTCTGACAAATGCTTTTCAAGGAAAATTATGTTAAACTCATACTAACATGTCTGAAAATAAACTAAGTATAAAACTGAGGAAGAAGGAAAAAATCCTTCCATCCCCCATAAAATAGTAACCTAAATGCAGTAAAGCAATTTTGCATGCCCTACCTAAAATTAACAGGTTGCACATTTTGGTTTGACTAGTCTACCCTTAGGAGGAAAGGTAGTAAAGTGCCTTTGCAACTTACCATGCCTAATAGTAATTTATCTAGGAATTTTATTTAATCTTTTTAGTGTAAAGAAAAGTAAAAGCAGATGTGTGGAGAACTAGTCTAGTTGTAAACAACTCACATTCAGGACTTGGTACACAGACTTCTGCTGCTCCTAACTTCTGTTCTTTCGCTCTCTTTGCACAACCACACAGAATTGAACCCCTCCCCCCCCACCAGAAAAAGGTCATCTTACTTATATTTTAGTAGGTAAAATTTGAAATACAAAAGAATGATTGAACTAAATATTTTATAAGATTTTTTTTAGTTCAGCTAAATATGCACATATAGCAAAACTAAAGTTGGTACAGTTTTCTGGGAAGACTTTTCTTTTAATAACTTCCACAAAAAGCCAAAAATTCAGCTGCATGGGTTACCTGATACAAAAATGGATTCACACTTAGGCAAAGAGATGATGGAAGTGAGGTGCTAGTTAAACGGCATAGCTGTTAAATGCTGATGCTAAACCTCTACGGTCTGGCAAGAACAGCAGGTAAAACTCTACTGCATATTGCATCTCACAAATTGAATTGGAGCATGGAGACCTATAAAAAGCAAATGGTAGAAGAAACAAGACCTCAGTTGTTATCTGTGCTTTTGGCTGCTGAACCAGTGAGCCCTGCGGTTGACTTATGCATCACCAGTTCCCCTGAGATTTCATGCTTCATCATCCCTGAAGGAAAAGATTTAGAGTACAGAATCTGTTGACATCATGTTAGTTCTGGGGAAATAGGACTTCTGAAGAGAAAAGACAAGCAAGAAAGCCTTGTGGGAATCAGAATGATGGACCATAGAGCAGTTTTATGGGCATGTGTATCTTTTCAGAAAGAAACCCTCTCTGTATTCCTGTCCCCAGATTCTCTGCTAGAATTCTGTTCAAAACTGACAGTGACATTAGAAGTCGTTCCATGAGAGCCCTGAGGCTAAGTCTCTTTCATATACTTAAACCTGCTCTAAAGGACTTGCAACTTCTCTCTTCTAGACTAACCAATCCAGCATCATCAAAGAACCCTTATTACTATAGAACTTTAATGTCCTCCCATCTCCCCAGTCCTTGTCGGTCTGCTTTGAATACAGTCTAGTTGATCTATTTCTTTTCTGAAGGGACCCCAGTAAGGAGTGACTTTTCCAGGGATAGCTCATTAGTACACACTGGGTAGGAATGCCTATTCTCTGCTCTGGACCTATGGGCATATTTAGATCCGACAATGCATAATACCTGTGCTGCTGCTGCTGGGTTACCATATCCCTCCTGAGATAAGACACTAAGTGTGTTGGACCTCAGAAAAATATATAAATGACCAGCAACATTGAAAGAAAGAAGCCGACAGGGATGGGAGGGGGGAGGGAGGGAGGCGGGTAGTGGAGAGGGGAAGGGGAAGGGTCAGATCAAGGAACAGGTGTGAAGGACACATGGAGAAAGCCAAGGTGGGGAAGGATTGAGGGGGGCAGGTGGGGGTGGGTGGGGCAGGGGAAAGTGGTGGCGGGTAAATGGAGACAAATGTATTTGAACAATTAATTAATTAATTTTTTAAAAAAATTATAAAAAGAGACGTGCAAATAGGTAGTTACAGAATAGCCATGTGGATAGAAGGTGCAGTATAGAAAATGGAGTAGCTAAAGAACTTAGCATGACCCATGGGCATGAACAATGGTTGGGGTGGCCTGGTAGAATGGGGCAAAGGGGGATTAGTTGGGATGAATGTAGTAGCATAATCAATGAAGTATAATTTAAAAAATTAAAAGCAAAACTAGAACAGAGGCAACTTTTAAAACGATGATTTTAAAAATGTACTTTTATTAAAACTAGAAACCTCAAAAAAATTATATATATATATATATATATGATGGTACAAGTTCAAATGAGTTCTGTAGCCCGGCAGGTAGCACAGGTGTGATACCATCTAGTGATTATCAGGAGTGACAGGGCTTGGGGTAGCCAAGAGAGCACAGAACATTCCTAATGGCATGCAGGTGGTTCATGTATATCTTCCAACACCATGTGCAACAAACCACTGAATTCACCCATGGTCTGCAATATGCTACTCCTGTACTTCAGGCCAGTCTCTGCTGTGGTATTAACAGCCACGCATGGAAAACTGGACCATCTAATGTTCTTCTTGTGTTGAACAAATAATACATGGAATGCTCCAAAGATAAACTCTTGAAAAGAAATCTGTTCACTACAAAATGACCAGCAACTATTTATTTAAAATCTTTCAAGAATAAACTTTCAAAGAACCCTAATCCTTTTACGGCTAAGATTTTGGTTGAGATCTCTTTTCCCAAAGCTGAAGAGATTATTTTTACTCCACAAATATTTATTATTAATTATAATGCTAATATTTATTTAGCCTACTATGCACAGGTTCTGTGCTAAGTATTTTGTGTACATTTTTTAAAGTAATCCTCACAAAAAGACCATGCAGTTGGCACTGGCCGCAGCTAGTGCAGGGCAAAACTTCTGCAACTGTTCTTCCTCTCCACTTTCTTTTCACTGATACAAAACAGTGTTTTTAATGATAAAACTAGGTTTCAGGTACACCATCCTTAGAAAAAAATCATTTAAAAATTTCTACTGATTTATTCTGTAACTGCTTATACACCAGTAAGAACAAGAAACTTAAGCTGCTTATTTTTTAGAGTTTTTCTTTTCCAGTTGTCGTAGGTTCACTACTTATTAAAACACCCTCCCCTCTTATCGCAGACAGGCCTCGAGTGGAGAGTCAAGCCTTTCCCACTGTGATGGGCTTCGTGGCTGCGCAGCAGGAAGAACTCATCCTCCTGCAGGAGAAAGTAAAAAACGGGAAACTCTCCATGGACCAAGCCCTTGAGGAATTTAAACACTGGCAGATGGGAAAGACTGGCTTGGAAATGATTCAGCAGGTAATACTGACCCTATCCCCCTCTGAAACATTTCCTTACAGAGCTCCTAGCTTCTTTGTCAATGTTGAGTCTTCACAAAAAATACAAATAACTACTCTTTTTTTTCAAATAGTCACAAAGATGTTTCCAAACTACCAATCAAAAGTTGGAAAATATCCAGACTTCATGCTTACAAACCATTGGTAAACTCAATATCAGAACTCAATGTATTAGAGCTAATACCTAGCCAACTTCTAAGAATGTTGTTAGTATAGTGAATGTTTTCTGAATTTCATTAATGAAATTAGGATGAAGCATCTTTACAATAACATGTGTTCAGCTTTCAGAGACTGTATTATGTAGACCACACTTGTTAAAGTAAATAGGAAAATGATTAAAATTGTATCAGACAGTAGTTCTAAATGCAATGTAGCATTAATTTCTCTTCATACATAGATGCATATGTATATATGTGTATATATGTATACAAGGTCTGTCCAGAAGGTATCCAGCCATGCAATATGAAAAATAAAGACATTTATTGAACAAGATACAGGATACAAAAGACATTATACCTAGGATAATGACACCTCAGTCCCCTTAGAAGTAGGCACCTTGGGCCCTCACACAGTTCTCCCAGTCACCATCAGCTGCCCCATTTTATTTTCCTGAATCTCATCAATGGTCTAAAATCTCTTCCTTTCCAAAGGTGATTTTCATTTTGGGAAAAGCCAGAAGTCACAGGGCACCAAGTCTGGGTTGTAGGGGGGCTGAGTCACCTGGGTGATTTGATGTTTCACCAAAAAACTCTGCATGAAACATGATGCATGAGCGGGTGCATTGTCACGGTGAAGCTGCCAATTACCAGAGGCCCATAGCTGTGGCCTTCTGGATCATTTGAATAGTTTCTGCAGGGGAATGTTCAAGCTTAAAACAAAATTTGATGCAGATTTTCTTTGCTCTACTTGCTCAGTCATTTTCAGAGTGATAGTCACACAGTGCACATGCTCACTCAACAGCATCTACCACCCCCACTGACTAGTACAGTGAAGTTGTCATTGTTCATGCAAGTACATTCCAGTCCGCTCTCCTTGGCTGCCAGGTTACATCAATATCCTGAAAACCATTCTTCTTATATTAACAATGGTGGGACTTTTTCCAGACAGACCTTATATATGTGTGTATATGTATATGTGTATGTATGTGTGTACACACACACACACACACACACACACATATATATATATATATATATATATATATATTTCAGATAAGCTTAGCCTTATCATCTATAAATTTACATCATGAACGGGGATTAGACTAGGTGGTCAGAAATAAGAATGAAAACAAATATGCCATATACACCCTGTGACATTCCTCAGTGAGGGCTATCAGGACTTTATTCTATGTATCCCACAGGCCTTTCTATTCCTAAAACATTCCACCAGTTTTCATCTTCTCATTATGGAAAACCTAGTTCTCTTAGCAACAAGTTGTCTGGCAGCTGTTTGATGGAAACATTTAATTAGCTAGTTTATATCAAAGTATAAATAATCATTAACAGCTTAATGCTCTATCTTTACTAAGGTATTATTTTTTATTTAAAACAATGCTTAAAAAAACAAGTTAGGACAACATTTTTAATAACAGAAAAATGAATCCCAGTGGTGAAATTTAAACAATATGGCACATAAGCAGGAGATAGTTTAGGCAAGAAGACTTGCCCAGTACGTCTGAGATGACCCCATGTCAGAAACCATCTGTCTCTAAGGGCAGCTCTGGCTGTGGATTGGCAGTTAGACATGGTTCAGACTTTGCAGTGCTAAGCAAGGACAGTGATTTTGCTAAACAAATATGAGAGATCACTGATTTAGAGTTTTATAACTGATCACTGTTCATGCTTCTCCTACTGTGCCAATGCCATCACCACCAAACATCCCTCTTATCCTGAAACGGATAAAATCTGCTTAAGTGAGACATACAAAGCACTTTCCTGAAAATACTAGATTATCTGAATTTTGTTGAAATAAGTTCAGTTGTACTTCATCCTCCTTTGACCCTTCAATAATAAAGTTTACAATTTAGGGTAATCCAACCTAAATACCTTCTTGGAAATGTCTTCACTAGTTGTTTTATTAAACACTTGGTTGTTTCTATTTAGTTTGTGTACTTATATTTAATATTGTTTTAGAAAGAATTTAAGGTGGTCCATACTCACTACTTGGAGACTGATCTGACTTATCTAATATAAAGGTGCAATGGGATAATGAATATGATTGGTATTTATGCAAAAGAAAACAAAAAAATTAACCTGTAATTTCAAAAACTACTTTCCGTAAGACCCAAAATTTAGTAATTCTGACTGAATACTGTTCTATATATCAGTCCACCCTCTTCCTTTTTTTTAATCCAGTTTAATTGAGATATAATTGACATATGACATTTTGTAAATTTAAGGTGTTCAGCCCTGGCTGGGTGGCTCAGTTGGAGTGTTGTCTAGTACACCAAGAAATGTGGGTTTGATCCGCAGTGGGTGCACATACCTAGGTTGCAGGTTCAGTCCCTGGTTGGGGCATGTATGGGAAGCAACCAACCGATGTGTCTCTCTTACATGGATCTCTCTCTCTCTCACTTTTGCTCTCTCTCTCTCCTCCCCCTTCTAAAATGAATAAGTATATTCTCAGGTGATAATTAAAAAAAATTAAGGTGCTCAAGGTATTGATTTGATACACTTGTGTATTGCAAAATGATTACCACTATAGTGCTAGCTAACATTTCCATTGTCACATAAGTACAATTTGGGTGGGTGGAGGGAGTGAGAACATTTAATATCTACTCTTTAACAACTTCTAAGTGTATAATACAGTGTTGTTTACTATAATCACGATGCTATACTTCAGATCCTCAGAACTTACCTTGTAACTGACAGTTTGTACCATTTGACCAACATCTTATCACCCATTCTCTCAGTCTCTGGTAACAAGCACCGTTCTACTCTGTTTCTATGAGTTTGATATTTTAAGATTAAGCATGTAAGTGATATCATGCAATATTTGTCTTTCTCTCTCTGACATTTTTTACTTAACATAATGCCATCAAATTGTGTCCATCTGTGTTGTCGCAAATGGCATGATTTCCTTCCTTCTCACGACTTACAAATATTCCACTAAATATATTACATACCCATTCTTCATCCATTAATCCATGGACAAGCACTTAGGTTGTTCCATATCATGGCTATTGTGCATAGTGCCTCAGTGAGCATGTGAGTGCAGATGTCTTCAATATCCTGTTTTCACTTCCTTCTCATAGATACTCAGTAGTGAATCTGCTGGATCATGTGGTAGTTGTACTTTTCAGTTTTGGGGAATGTACATACTATTTTCCATATGGAAGAACCAATTTATATTTCCACCAACAGTACTCAGGGTTCCTTTTTCTCCACATCCTGCTAACACTGTTGTCTCCTGTCTTTTTTATTATAGCTATTCTAACAAGCATGAGGTGGTATCTCATTGTGGGTTTGACTTGCATTTTTCTTATAATTAGTGATGTTGAGCACCCTTTCATATTATCTGTTGGTCATTTGTATATCTTTTGGAAAAATGTCTATTCAGTTACTCTGGTCATTTTTTTAACCAGATTATTTGGGTTTGTTGTTGTTTATTTGTTGCTATTGAGTTGTATGACTTCTTTATGTGTCTTAGGTATTAACCTCTTATCAAATATAGGATTTGTAAACATTTTCTCTGGTGCTATAGGTTACCCTTTAATTTTGTTGGTAACTCCTTTTGCTCTGTAAAAGCTTTTCAAGTTGACATAGTCACACTTGTTTATTATTTTTGCTTTTGTTGCTTGTGCTTTTGAATATCCTATCCAAAAAATGTTGCCAAGACCAATGTCAAGGAGCTTTTCTCCTACATTTTCTTAGTTCTTAATATAAGGGGCTAGACAACAGTCAGAACAAAAAATTATTGTTCTCTCACTTTCTTAACACATGTGAATGTACATTCAATGCTATACACCTCATTATCATTTTTGTAGTTTACAAAAACATTCATTTGTACACTGAGGATGAATCTATGAGAGGTAATTGTAAAGTTATATTATTATTGACAGAGGCATTATCTTAGGAAATTAGCAGGAAAAAAAGGCACAAACATAGAGTTAATAATAGAAGAGTTTCTAGAATAATGAAGACCCATGCAGAATCATCAGAGCTGAAAGTAAGATGGCTGAGAAGGTAAAAACCTTGTTGTTCATTCTCCTTATTTCTGCTCTAATCGCTGAGTGCCTAATCGCTCCCCTCCCAGGAGAGTAACTGCAAGGCAATGTAAACAACTCTCTATTTAGGAAATATGGTTTATAGGTTTAAGGGAAACCCTTAGGGAAACGTACTACTCTTAGGTTTTCTTCCAATAAGGGATTTTTTAACATTAGCTTATTTTATATTGTGGATAAAAAGTATAGATGTTCAATGCAGAATATCTGGAAAGAATGATTACAAATTAGCTAAGAAGGAGAATCCAGTCGTGCTTCCTTTGCACCTGAGTCGCTAGTACTTAGAAGGGACCCTGGGGAGTAGTACAGAAGCTGCAATTGGGCTCCGGCAGCAAGTCATCATTTTGTCATTCTCCTGCTTTCGGTCACCAAATAGCCTGTATAGATCCTTAGGTGTTAGTTGGCAAAACAGCTCCCAAAAGAGCTGGGCTCTGGGTTCCAATCCTGACTCTACCACTTACAACTGCGTGATTTGGGAAAGTTACTTAACCTCTCTTTATTTCAGTTTCTATATATGAAAAATGAGATGGTGATGTTTTATATCTACTTCATGAAGTGAGGATTCAGTAAGATAATAGGGTAAAGTATCAAGAATAGTCACTGGGACCTTCTCAGTACCAAGTTAGTACTAAGCAGTTGTGGTGGTGGTGGTGATGGTAGTGCTGATAGTAGCAGATGTTTCACCTTGATCCATAACAAATTTGTAAATCATGACTTCTGTTTCCTGGTCGTTCCCTCATTTAGGAAAAACTGCGCCAACTAAGAGATACCATTATTGGGAAGAGGCCAGAAGAAGAAAATGTCTATGGTAAGTAAAATCGGACTATTATTCAAAAATGATAGAGTGATGGAGCAGAAAGGGCAAGGACTGTGAAGCCAAGCAGGCCCGAGTTCACGTCTACGCTCCATCACTTCCCGGCTGTGTAACCAAGCAGGTTTTCAATCCCTAGTACTCAGGTTCCTTGTCTGCAAAACAGGAATAATTATCCACATCTAAAAGTGGTTTATAGGTTAAAATATAAAACACTTACACCTTCTCTGACCCATAATGGATGTTCAATAAATGCTAGTTACATATTTTTTTTTCCTTTGATTTTGATGTAAGTTGCAAACAAAATGATTCTACTCCAGTTTCATTTATATGTGAGCCATTATACAAAGTATTAAATTTTAAAGTAGTCATGCTTTTTTAATAAGTTAGAATAGTCTCAATATAGTCGGTTCTCACAATTGTTCACATGTGGATCATTTTAATGTGTAAATCTCCGGTTGCCGTTCCCTAACAACTAGCAAGCTTCCTGGCAATGCAGACTCCCCTTGCTAACAACTAACAGTTGCTCTCCGGTGGTGGGGCGGAGTGGGGGGACTCATCTTAATGTTAACACAAACCAAACATTATTAAGATGGTACATCCTCTCCAGAGATAGACAACACACTCCAAAATTGAAAATAAATATGTTCTCACTATCTGACCACTCTTTTCCCCCAAGTCCCTACTTTTGTGCAGATAATTAAAAACTAACAACCACGAGCAGAGCTTGAAAGCTTTCATCTCTTCCATTTTCAATAACATTGCATAGCTTTTAGCGAGTGCTTCATGTGGAAATTCACCCTGCTAAAATTCGTTTTCTTTTCACATTATTAGGTTGTTATCTGCTTTCCCATAGAGAGTTCTTCAAGCTCTCTTAGAACTGTTTCTCAAAAGAGAAATACTTTCTACAATAATTAAGGTCATAAAGATGGGACTAATTTACAGATTATTAAATTCGACAGACTTTCATGTAATGTAGAATAAGATGAAAATTTTAAAAAGTACACAATTACAAAATATATAAATAATTTTACTAAGTAACATTAAGTAATAGTAGCAATTAATATGTATTGACTACCTATAATACAATTCATATTACCTTATAATTTATTACAGTAAGTTTTGAGGTAGGCATTGGTTTCAATTTATAAATAAGGAAACTGAGACTCTGAGAAACTAAGACTCTGAGAAAGATATGCATATTAGAAACTACAACCTATTTCTGTTTAAATCTAAAATCAATGCTCTTAATCATTTGGTGTCCTAATTAAGAATCCACTAGCTCCCCTTCCAGCCAAAGTGGAGTAAATAGTACCCAATAAATTCTTCCACTATATAGAGAGCACTAACACTGAGCAAAAATATGAGACATCTGAGTTCAGAGAGTAGACAATAGGCAACCTCAGGTTATCATCCCAGAGACAATTCCCAGGGACTGATTTCCCGACTACAGTCTGTGCAAAACCAGGCAGTCCCATTGAACGGAGATGACAAAGATTAGAGATCAGAGCAACAACTTAAGTTTCTGGAATGCGCATGGTGGGTCACTGAAGCAGTAGCTCTGTAGAGGTAGCCTCAGAGGGGAGTAAAGAACTACACGGGTCTGTGGATGAGAGGTGAACTGGACAAGGGTAGAGCAAGACCACTCACAACCTGCAAGATATTGGTTTCTGGGGTGTTGCATGCAGATCAGAGATACTAGAATTTTAGAACAATGAGGGAAAATCTATACTGAGATATTGGAGATCCTGCCCAGCTATGGTGGAAAGGTCTCCTTCACACTCTGTTAAAATAACTGGCACCCTGCTGTGAACACCAAGAGATGTGAGGAGTAAAGATCATGACTTAGAGTGAGACCTCCTATAGATCAGCCATTGCAAAGCCTGAAACCAAGCCCCTATACGATCCACATAGATCTTACAGGGAAAAGAAAAATATCTAATAATATATATCTACACGCTTTGTATAATTTTCAGTGCTCTTTATTCCTTAGTGGGGATCTGAGTTTCTGTTTTCACTATCCCCTCACCCAATATGATATATTTAGCATTGGTTATTATATTACAGTTTTGCTGTCTGTGAATTCTCTGATTTTATTTATCTGAAAATTCCTTTATTTCAACAAATTTTCCAAGGATATTTTCTCTGGATATATAATTCTGAGTTTAGAATTCTATATAATTCTAAACTTAGCACTTCAATGACATTATTACATTGTCTTTAGTCCTTCATTGTTTCTTTTAAAAAATTAGCTAATATTCTTCTCCTTTTTCCTATGAAATGTGACATTTTTTTCTCTGACTGCTTTCAAGAATATCTCTTTACATTGGCCTGAAGTAGTTTGACTACAGTTGCCTACATGGAGACCTCATAACAGTTATGCTATTTGGAGTTTTTTGAAGTTCTTAGAACTGTATGTAGGTGGTTTACATTAAAACTGGAAAATTTTGGTCATTATTTCTTTTAAAATGTTTTTTCCCAGACTTGGCTGGTGTGGCTCAATGGATTGAGCACTGGCCTGTGAACCAAAGGGTTGCCGGTTCAACTCCCAGTCAGGGCACATGCCTGGGTGGTAGGCCAGGTCCCCAGTAGGGGCGTGCATGACGCAACCACACATTGATATTTTTCTTCCTCTCTTTCTCCCTCCCTTCCCCTCTTCTAAAAATAAATAAATAAAATATTTTAAAAAATGTTTTGTCCCAAACTTACTCTTTTCTTCTCTGGGACTCTAATTATATTCATGCTAGACTGTGTTATATTGGTCTACATGTCTCTAAAGCTGTTTTTTTAAAAAGATTTTTATCTTCCTTTTAATCATATTGGATAATTTCTATTGATTTGTCTCCAACTTTATTTGAAACTCCATTCCAAGCATGGTTTGGAATGTGTCGGTTCTTGGCTCCACGCAAGCAAGAGTTTAAGACAGCAGTCCAGGTGATTGTGAGAGTACATTTATTAAAGCTTTGGACAGTGAGGCTAAAGGAAGAGCAGAGGATAGAGGAAGCAAGCTCACAGGAACAGGACTGAGCCCAGGCAGAGCTTAGGTAAGTGAGGGAAAGGACTGGGCCTAGCTGGAGCTGCTTAGACTTGGGAAACAAGTCACAGACAAAGGGAGTGAGCCAAGAAGGCTAGGTTGCTTGGCTCAAGGAAAAAGATCACTGTAACAAATGAGCCTAGGCTGGGGAGCTTAGATTCAGGAAAAGAAGCCATCATGACAGAGATGAACCTAGGCTGGGCTACTTAGACTCAGGAAACTAGTTACAGAGGCAGAAGGGGGAGCCCTCGGAGACAGGATCAGTGGATCAGCCTGGGGCGAGCTCCTGCTGCCCACTGCTCCCCTGGTTGCAAGTCTAGTCGGAACCCTTAGAGCTTGGGAGAAAGAATGCAGAAGTACACACTTCAGGAAAAGGGGGAAGGGGTGTGCTCAAAGAAGAACGCACCCTGGGTCCTTTATCTTGGGGGTTATCTGTGTTTTGCGGGCAAGAATTTTAGGGGAGGTATTAATCAGAATATTTATCAACTTTTCAGGTGTGTCCTTCAATCTGCTGATATATCAGCATGACTGTGTTGTGGGGTTTGGGAACATTCTCTGGTCAGCTTCACCTCTATCTTGGATTTGGCTCTAATTGTTTTTTTGTTGTTGTTATTTGTTGCCCTGGCTTTACCGTTCTTTGGTCTGGCTGGCACTAATGACACTAACTGGGTCTCTGTTAGCTGTCTTCCTGACTACTTGCTCTCTCCTTGAAGAGGAGAAGTGCCTTTGGTTAGAGTAGATAAGATCTTGTGATTTAGTAGCTGGCTGCTAATTGTTTAACTATTTTGTCTCTCTCTTCCCCATTCCACTTGCCAGGGAATTTTCCTGGCTTCTTACTAACTTGCCTCACATACAACTCAGCAATATATAAGAATACTTATTATTATAAATAACAACATGAATGAATCTCACAGATACTATGCTAAGTGAAAGGTACGACACACAAAGAAGTACACACTGTAAGATTATATTTATCTGGCATTCCAGGTAAAGCTAGTCTAATAGAGAGAGAAGTCAGACCAAGGGCTCCCCGGAGTCATAGTGGGATGAGGATTGATGGAAGACGTGCACAAGGGGATCTTCTGTGGAGGAGAAGTGTTCTCTATCCTAACTGGCTGTATATATTTTTCAAAAGCGTATACTTAAAAATGTTTCAATTTTACTACATGTAATTATTACTGAATGATGTTAACTTCAAAAAATGGAGTAGACCAGACTAAAACAATGTCATAGCAGAATAGCAAGCTTGTATTAGTGTCAAACATATCTAAAAGCATAATATTTTGAAACAAGCATCCGGAAGAAGAAAGACAAAAGTAATAAAAGATATGATTTCTCACACTTAGTGGATGGAGGTTAGTATTTTTTTAAATCAGATTGTGAAATATCATGCTTACCTTAAAGATACATAGTTAAACAGTAAAAGAAAACAAAATAAATATTGAACAAAACTAAGTAGAATGTGCTTTTTTTTTTTTTTTATCTTCTAGACAAGCTCACTATTGTGCACCATCCAAATGGTAAGTGCTTGGTATTTATTGAAGAATTTAGGACTAAAACAAAGCACATAGTAAACCCATTTCAAAATAAATTAAACCTAATATGATTAGGCAGATCAGTGTAGACTACAAAATCTCATATAGATTTTGTATTTATATGCAAAGCCACCTAGCATTAAATATAAATTGTGAGATGGTTCTAGAATAGCAATGCTCGAAGCATTGTTATATGGTAAAAGAAGCTTATACTTTGAACTCTGTTTCACCTGACTTTTTACAACTTATCAGTTGTAACCTTTGGCAAGTCACTTAAGCTCTTTAGACCTCAGTTTCCTCATATGTAAGATGTGGATGAGAATTCTACCATGGAAATTGCTGTGAAGATACATGTAAATAAGAGCAGATGTTTGACGAGTGGAAGCTATTAATAGAGTAAATGAAATAGGAATAACACTCGAGAGAGTGAGTCACTTTAGTTTGATGGAGAGAAATGTGTGCACAATGTTGGGAGGGCAGAGAAGGTCAAGGTCAGCCATGTAGCTGTTAGATAATCTAGAAGTAATTGGCTCTGGCCTGAACCAAAGCACTGGCCGCGGAAATGCAGAAGCAACGGAAGTGAGCCGTGTGGCTGCAATGGAAAATGGGAAGCCTGTGGTAAAACATGAGGGCAGTAGCCTAACCAATGGGGAGTAGTCGGGAAATTTTTTCTTAAAAAGTATATTTTGCAACTGGTGAATCCTGCAAATGGAGAAAAGAAAAAGAGGAGAAAGGTGTAATCACAAGTGGAGGTTGTTACTCAAAGGTATTAGACTGTTGCTGAGCCAAAGCAGCTCCTCAGTATCCTACTCAAGTCAACCTGTATGGGTGGGAGAAATTAACGGCATACTTGCCAAGGAGGCCTTTTTAATGTGCCCTTTTATCTCTTCACTAATTTTTCTCTTTACCCATATCCTACCTTTTGCATATATAATTTTTTAAGTGCTAAGTAAATGAATTATTAAATGTGTAAATGACTAAAGAGATAGTAACAGAGTTTGTACATCTAGGTAACGAAAGTGTCCACAATGAAAATACTTCATATAGCATACCTTTCGGCAATAAGGTAGGTTATATTTATCTTAATTTTTGTAAAAAGGCAGAAAAGAATTTTGTTGAGAAAGAACATAAGAGCTTTCTATCCTGATTTTGCTTTGAAACATTCTGAAAATATGAATAAAATACGTTGCATAAGCATTTGTGTGCAAAATCCATGAGCAGTAATTTAAAGAATTAACTATTTGGAAAAAAGCAAAGAAGGAAGCTGATCAAAGGAAAAGGGCATTGAGGGCCAAAGTGTGGTTAATTCCACATGTGGGGACCAAATAAATCTTAGAGGCCGTATGAAGGCATAATCTTTATGCTGAGTCTATCTGAACCACAATGTGTACAGCCTTTAAAGTCTAGTTATAGAAAAAAAATTAACCCCCAAATATTGTTCATGTAAATGTGCATTACTTTACATTGTAGAGTGAACTAAAAATAAATTGCTAATGAGAAGCTCTAAATAGCACTAAACAAAGACAGCAGCAATTGAAAACCAAGACCAGTTCAAACAACTCTGATAATGACCTGAACACAAATGTTTGTCATAGAAATTGTTATTATATCTATATATGAGATGAAGGAAATTTTCACCGTTACTCCAGGTCATGTGGCAGCTGGATTCCTTGCAAAAAATCCAGAATGAGAGCCCTTGTTAAGTTCTCATAATAAACCAATTTTAGTGTACCAAATTTTAATAACCCTTAATCTCTCTGATGTTTCAAATAAATCATTAGTAATCTTAAAAGCCATTCACTCTTAAGAGCTGATTGAAGTATTTGCATTTCTAGGGCATGGACCTAATGAGCAGCCTACAATATGTAGACTCATTTGGACTCATTTGGCTATAGCAGAATTATGGGGTAACACCTAGGCCCAGGAATTTATCTTTGTGAAACAAAGATCCTTCTATATGATCTAAAGGACTGGACCAGATCATGGTGATGATCTGTTACTTTGGAGTAAGAGTTCAGATAAGAGAAAATAATACAAATTCCTAACACTTGGGCTATTCTCCATCAAAATGGGAATGAAATTTGAAGTCAAGGACTTTGATGAAGTTGAGCTTTACAATGATTCCTTCCTTTTAAAGGGGAGGATTGTCTTGTCAGTTACCTCTACAAAGCTCCTTTTTCATGACTGTGAAAGGCAATATGATTTTTTAATGTTTCTTTGCTCAGCTTTAAAAATGGAGAAATGCTAGCTAGCTATTTATATATATATTTCTTTTTCTAAGCATCCTGCTCGACTCCAAGTTGAAAAGGAATTTGGTATCTGTTGCAGAAAAGATCACTAAGGAAGGTAAGAAAAACAGCCATGTTTTTTTAAAAACCTAAAGCAGGCTTATTAGGGACTTGAAGGAATCATTTGTCTAGCAAACAGAATAAATATTTCATTTTCTTCTCCTGAAAGAATAAACATGTGTATTGTTCAAGCCAAAGGTGATTGTTCCTTAGAAAGATTTATGTATGGGGGTGATTTTATGCTAGCTAATCAATTTCAATTGATGATACATTATTCACTAATGCATTTCCTGTGATCTCATTTTCAGGTTTATAATGAAACAAGAATCTGCAGACACTGTGCTTTCTGCATGAAGCAAGCTTGCATTTAGATTGCCTGCTGTCTTCAGGGCAAATCTATGTTGTGAAAGAAAAAGCAAGTCCTCTGGATTTCAGACTGTATTATTGCCACAATTTATTGACATTGTATCTGCTTCAGACGGGTATACCAAGACTAAAACTGAATACCCGCATTCTATGAAAACAAAAATCCTTGCATTTTACAATGCACTTTCCACTGAAGCAACTATTTTCCATTTTGAAAATTGAAGGAAAACAAGAGCAGAAACGTTAAATGCTCTGCAGCAAAGTTATTGGGCCCACTTTAGGCACTGACCTTAATATATTACCCTTCAAGTCCTCAGAATAACCATGAAAACACAAATTTGTTCAGTACCTATTTGCCTTTTGAGTGACTGGTCAATTTTCTGAATTTCTCACATTTGAAACTATTATTGTTACATCATATTTGCAGAAACCTTCCTTTCTTTAGTGCTTATTTGCATGTAACCCTGAGAACATTATTTTTCTAACTTTTTGTATCCCATATTAATATATATTTCTATAACCTATATACCTTACTAAAAGGCTTACAAATTCATCCACTTATTTCTTAGACACATTTTACTAGCTTACAACAGAAAACAATTTTATCGTTCTGTGATTTTCATGAACAATTCCTGCAAATAAAATGAATGTTTAAAGATATGTTTGACTTTTTTAAATGAATGCATGGGAAATAACCCCTAAAGTCTTCTGCTTACCATTTACAGAGAGAGAAGTCTACCAAAATTATCTGAAAATAAGTGAACATGATTAATAGGACAAAGGCCCCCTTTTTCAGGCCCTCTTTGCCAGAGCCAGTTGGACCCCAAAAAGCATGGCTGACTCTTGTTTTAGGAGCCTCTATCCTCAAGACTAGAAAATTACTGGAAGCACCCTGAAGGCGCAGAGGCTCCTGGGAACTTATGAAACAGGAGGTGCCAGACCGCAGCTACCAGACCCCGCACCCAAAGAGAGCTTCGAGACAAGCTGCGCCTATGCAAGACCTGCTGAAGGAGACATCGTGCTCTACAACCACCCAATCACCTAATGAAAGATCAAAGTCCCCACCTCACCAAGCCACTCTGTCCTCTTGGAGAGTAAATAAAAAACTTTATGCTCTGTACTTCCTTTTCTTTCTGAATTCTTTCACAGCCCACGTCACCAACCACCCTAACATTTATTGATTTCACTGTGTAAGGCCCATTAAGTAGAATAAACACAAATGAGGGTTTTCTAGCTTCTAAACAGTGATAGGAATGTTTAATTTTTTAAAGTGATTCTGCAAAATATTGATTATAGGTTTCTCAAGACTATTAAGATTCTTAAATAAGCTCGTTTTTAAAAATAATACAGTTTAATTCATCCCTAGAGAAGCTGGATTTGATTATTATATGTGGAAATTCAGTCTATAATTTCACATCCAAGCTTTCAAGAAGTGGCATGCTCCTCCACGCACTGAGCCCCCATTTCTGTGGACTGTCACCCAAAAATGAGGGAAAGCAATGGGAAAACTGCTTTACTATCATTTTCTCCATCTATGAAATATAAATGTATGTATCATCTCTAAAGTAAACACTTCCACAGCAGGCTGTGACCAATGCCTGCAAGTGTTCCATTAGCTTTAGTCTTATTAAAACTGTGAAATCCAGTGACAGGTGAAATGTTAACTTTCCTGATTATAATGTAATTAGCTCATTTCTTACCTGAGACTCAGTTAAGGGTGGAGATAAGGCCTAAGTGTTAATCAGGTCGTTAACAGAGATGGAAATGTAAATTCAGGATCTCTAAAATACTGCCATTATGAACTGGGCTGACTTAGAATAAAACGATGGCAAAAAAACCCATTTAATAGTCTCTTTTTGTAGACAGTCTGGCCCTGGAAATCTTACTCCTTTATTGTCACAAAGAAACATGGCAAAAGGAAACCTAAAAATCCCAGAGCTTCCTTTACCATGGCTCATCCCGTCCTGGTGATTAGGCTTTGCCAGAGCAAGAACGTTGGTGAGACAAGGTTGGAGCTGGAGAATCAAGGAGTCTGTAGCATGCCTGTTACTCAGAAGGAAGAGATGAAAAAATAGAGAGATGCAAAGGGAGGGGAAGGACAACCCAAATTTCAAAAGGATCCCAAATGAAAATGCTCCATAAGGAAGCAATATTTTTAATCTCTGGGCTTTATCCTTAATATATAGAATACTGTCCATCAAATTTGAGCCATACAGCAGAAGCTTTGCCTCAGCGAGGAAAGATCAGAGGACAGAGCAGAGAGGCAGGGATGTAGACTAGAAATATGTGAACTTTCCTTAGAGGTTTGGGGCATTTCTCAAAGAGCCCTAGTCACTTCCAGGAAGGTCCACGAGAGACCTAGTTAGGATTCTGTGCTGATTCCGGAAGACTGAGCGGCCTGTAGCTAATACACCTTATCTTTTTCTCCATCTCTTCCTCAAATCAGATTTCTTCTGAAGCCGTTCCTTCTAACTTTAGCCAAGAGCCAGCCCCTTTCTCGGGTTCTTAAATTTACTATGGCTCTGACTGCGAGAAATATGCAATGAACAGGTACCAAAAGTTATCAAAGGAATTTTATGTTTAATATTAATTCCCTTCTTTTCCACTAGTCAATTTTTTAGGGTAACAAAGAGGAAGCATCTAGACTAGTGGTTCTCAAATGAGGCAATTTTGTTCTTTTTGCCCTAGACGTTAGGCCATATCTGGAAACATTTTTAATGGTCGTGACTAGTTTTGGCATCTTAGTATGTAAGACAGGGGGTGCTAATAAACATTTAATACACAAGACAAAAAAAATTTCCAGTCCAAAATGTCAGATATTGACTACAGAGTAAATGTTAAATTTGTCAAAATAAAAACACTTAACTTTATACAGAACTTTCTGCAGGGGGAAGCCCTTATGAGACCATAATTGGATGTCTTTATTTTAGAATACATATGGCTTAAGTGTGAATGGATCATTAAATACTCAAAAGAATGGTTGACTAATGCATTTTGATAAATCAAACATTAGATTACTTTACCAATGGAGACTCTAATTGTTACAAAATGAGACTTCCTCAGTATTTTTCTCATGAGAACGACCTTGTCACTCATGTTGTTTTTATATCCTATTGTGCACTCATCAGAGTTCCTTCTTGTTTTTCATAATGCTCAGGAGGTCTGATTTTACTAATTTGGACTCACCTGAATTTTACAGCGCATTGCTTTTCCAAATGGGTAAACACTTGGGAGAGAGATTTCCATCTTGAGCCGGATCCAGGGGGTCCCAGCAGGTCACACAGAGCCGGGGCGAAGCCCTGTGGCAGCCCTTTGTGCAGCTATTCCGGCCAGACCTGGCACCTGCCCCAGTTCAGTGGGACTCACCTTTGAGGACAAGGACTGGCCACCTGAATGACAGCAAAAGGCAAGGTGCTCACGCAACAGACCTCAGGTTTATACATTACAGTGCATGATTTCCTCAATATCCCCGTCTTCAAAATGCGGGTGATCGGGCTTATATAATAAAATGGGTATCCAGTGACATCGTGTAGCAAATGAGCAGGACAGTACTGCATTCCACAGCGTGGGCTTTGAGGTCAAATGGACCTAGTTTGAATATTGGTTCAGCTATGTCCTACCTGTTTGATCATGGATAAAATGGGGTTAACAATTCCAACATCAGCATAGTTTGAGAATTAAATGAAAGAGATCATTTAATTAATTTATCATTCAAAGAGGATGCCTTTGATGGTGAAAAAAAAGACTGTTAGTAAGTACAATGGAAAAGCCCGCATGGGCCAAGGCTACCTCAGGCATAAGCTGGGCTGTAGGGTCATTTGATTAAAGTGTAAATACTTGACATAGAGTAAATTGTCAATGAAGAAAGTTTGCAAAAAATAATCCTCTTTGAAATGTGAATGGTGTCATGCATGAAGCTGTCTTTGTTATCTGACTGGCTCTTAAGTACAACCTTATAGCATAAAATTCACATCCGTATCACTTTTAAAAAAACAATTCAAAATAATAATTGCAGAAAATGACCACCTGGATCACCCCTAAACATTAGAAGCCTCAAGGGGAAAAATCCGTCAACAGTAGGGTACTATAGCATTGTTTCCCAAGCTGTGTTACAAAGACTCATAGGAACTGCATTAAAAGGGGTTCTGTGATCCAGTGAGCCCAGGGGTGCTACATATTTTAGTCCCTAAATAACATATTAAATATCCACGTATTGAAGGCTAAGTAATCCTGCAACAAAGAAATTTCTACAGTTTAAAAAATACTGGCTTACTTTTTATGTATACATAAGCTGGCTTCATTTTTCACTTCATGGAAAAAGAAAAACTGACTGAAGGATGCATGCAATGGTGTGTTGTGATGGAGTCTAAGCCCTGGGTTCAATGGGAAACTGTGTCAAGATCAATTAACGGTGTTTCCCATGGATAGTGGTGTGATGGGGTGAGGGGAGAGGCGGCATTCAGGATTTGCATTCTGTTTTTAGCATAAAGCAAAAGAATAGGTTCTAAAGTTTGTAAATAATAAAAGTCAGCTTTAGTCAGAATAAAGATTACTGTTTTCAAACCAATGAACTGATAAACTCCTCTCAGAGTAAAACACTAATTTCTCTCATAAGATACTTTGTACATCTTCAAATGAATATCAGCCTTGGTTCCTCTCTGAAGCAGTGTAAGATCATTCAGAAATGCTGTGCGGTGAAATGTATCAGACAACAAAGCCATTTCTGCGTTCATGCAAACCAGTGGGATAGTTCAGCTCAGACTGCCTTTTTGCCCTCTGTAGCAACAGATGGCCCTCAGAGAGAAAACAGCGTTAGCAAATTAGCCAACAATTTCTGATGGATGGTCTCTTTCACTTCTCAAGGTGGGAATGAACATGTTGTACCAGCTATGAGAAAGGTGCTACAGTTCTCTCCTAGCACTTTCTTTCTACATTTGAGCAAAATAAAGACAAGGGACTCAGGGTAATG